CACCCCAAGCTCCCAAATCCTGGGAAAATCTAAAGAGCTCATGCCTGGGTTGAGAAAGGAGAGAACTGTGTTCTCACACGTTCTTCTCTGAGTTATACAGCAGTCAGGCCTCAGCCCTCTCCTCCCAAAAGGGGTTGTCAGTCTTTGGTTTGAATAGTTTTCACCTAGAGGTTACCTTTGCAGCAATGCTGTGCTTAAGATCCTGACCCAGAGATTCCTTGGTTTCTTCACCTAAAGAAGGGCCAGAACCTACAGATGTGAGAGTGGGATGGGGGCCAGCACCACCCCACAGTCTGACCAGCTGGCCTCTCCCTTGGGCTACAGCTGGCTCTGGAGAGGGGCTTTTAAAAAACCAGCTGGGTGGTTTGGGACAGGAAGTAGAGCAGCAGAATGAGGAGGAGACTCATGGAGAAGGAAAAAGCATTGATTCTGGGTACTTTTATTCTGTGTCCCCCAGGCCAGAGTGGGGCAGGGGACTGGGGAAGAGAAGGGTCAGGGTTTTATTTGGGGGATTATTATTTTGGAAGGGGAGGAATCCTGGAGGAAAAAGGCAGGAAACAGCCAGAAAGGAGAGGAGGCTAGAAGAGAATCTAGGCCCCTTGATCCCCCTCCCCCAGACTAAGATAAAGACTAGAATCCTGAAAGGTGATCTCATCACACAGAGCCATGGCAGGGAGAAGGGGTAGGCAGGGGGTCACTGCCTTCCTTGGCTACCGAGTCCCTTCCACTACATCCTGAGGGGATCTGGGAAAAATGGGGTCCTGGGTTCCAGCTCGCAGAGCCTAAAGACAAGAGGAGCTAAAGGTTAGGCCCCTTTGCTAGACACCACACACCCCACCCTATGCTACAATTCTCCAGGTTTGTCGGAATCAGGCCAGTTTGGTGAAGAAGACACTGAGGGACCAAAGCACCCCGTCCCTACCACTCCTGGCTCTCCATCAGCTGCCAGATTCTAGGAAGGGGCTCAACAGAGGTTTCCATACCCTACAACGAAGAATGGGGTGGACCTGGAGCAGAATCCTCCTGGTGAGCAACCCCAAAGTCCTGGATTTTCGATTCTAGCAGCTTGTGGGGGGTGAGGGTGGGAGTGGGAGTAGACAGCAGAACTCGAGGGTCCTATGGGGTCCCTGACAGATCAGGGTGACAGGGAGCACTCTGTATGTCAACTGTCCGGTCCCACATCCAACTGGCCGGAACCCAAGCACCTGGCTCAGAAGGCGGGGAAATCCCGACGGGCCAGATGCCAGAGGTGCCGTCTCCCAAGACCCCAGAGCCACCTCCCCCAGAGGCGAGGAAGACCCCATACACGGGCGCCCACCGGCCCAGAGGTGATTCCTTTCCTCGTTAGGAAACTCTCCGCTCCCTTTTCCGAGAGTTACGTGGTACATCTGGAAAGGAGGGGAGGAGGGAGGGCGCGGGGGGCGGGGGCCGGGCCGCCGTCGGACCCGGTGGGGACCCGGCGGGGACCCGGTACGGACGCGGTGCGGAGCGGTGGGGCCGGCGGGTGGGCGGGCGGGGGCGGAGACCCCGCGCCCTCCGGCGGGGCGCGGACTTGGAGCTGCGGGGCTGGGGGTGCCGCCCCCGGCGGGCGGGGGGAGGGCTCGGCCGCAGTCGGCAGGCTCCTCCCCGCGTTGAGTCACTCGGCTCCCGAGGTTTAGGGAGCGCCGGGTCGGCGGCCCCAGCGGAGGAGCGCGCCATGGGCCGCCGGACGCCGCGCGCCGAGCCGCCGAGCCGGGGCCCCCGGCGCCCCGCGCTGCTGCCGCTGCTCCTGCCGCTCCTGCCGCTGCTGCCGGGGCCGCCGCCGCGCGCCGCGGGCTTCAACCTAGACGCCGAGGCCCCCGCGCTACTGTCCGGGCCCCCGCGCTCCTTCTTCGGCTTCTCAGTGGAGTTTTACCGGCCCGGCACGGACGGGTGAGGGCGGCGGGCCGGCGGGGTCGCTGGGGGCTGGAGGGGCCGAGGCTGCAGCCCGAGAGGCGGAGATTGGAAGGACGCGGGCTGGGGCCGGAGCCGCGCCGGAGGGGAGGACGGCGCCGGCGCGGAGGGGCGCGGGGCTGGAGCGCGGGCGGCGGGCGGAGGGGCGGGGGTCCCGGTGCCGAGGTGAGTGGGGCGAGGGGACGCGGAGCCGAGGCTCTCTGGCTGAGATCCGCGGGCGGACGGGGCAGAGGGCCCTTGGGAGCACTGGGGGGACTCGGGGCCCCTGGGGGCCGCTGTGCGGAGGGAACGGGCCCGCGCGAGATGCGCTGCGTGTAGTAAGAGGGCCTCGGAGACAGGAGGTCCGGAGGTCAGTGGGGGCCGGCCCCATCCTCCCCTCCCCCTCAGCTCGCGCAGGGAAGGACCCGGGAAGGGGACGGCGGCCCCCTCCTTTCTCCTCGGTCTCCTGCACAGCCCACACCCCGATCTCTCCTCAGACGAGGGGTTCGGGAACTTGGGGAGAGTCCCGGGACCCTGGCATCGGGGGCGCTGGGGCGGCTCAGCCGAGGGCGGGTGCACGGATGTGTCGGGAGGGGGTGTGCGCGCGTGAAGAGGGGTGGGCGGTTTCCCTCCTCCTCCAGCTCTTGGGAGGAAGAGAAAAGCTGATTTCCTGTAGTTTGTCGGCTGGAACTGAAGTGGGACGGGGACTTATGCAGCTGGGGTCAGGAGCTGGGAGATGCGGGCTCTCTGGGCCCAAGAGCGTAAGAACACAGGACATCAGGGACTGAGGCCGTCTCAGAGGACTCCTCGTTCCCAGGGTGTCAAGCAGACCGGCCCGAGGTGCCTGGAAAATGGGGAGCCCACAGGCTTGGGGAAACCGGAGTTAGAGCTGATGCAACTTAGGAAGAAGGGTGTTTTTAAATGTGGGGGATTGGCAAGTAAGGGAAGGTAGCTGCTCCTGGACTAGGCCAGGGACTCTAAGACGCCAGATTCCTGATCCTCTACAACTGGAGGAATTCTTTCTCCAGCATCTCTGGGCTCTTACCTTCCCACTGCTCCCCACCACCACCTCAACTCCAGTATCACAGGGTTTGATAGGATCTCTGCCAGAAGTGAGCTGTTTCCACACCAAATACAGTTAACTGATCTCTACTCATTTTCTTCAATTTTGAGAGAAAAGGGGTTAGTCTAGATAATTCAATTTTTGTGAGGGGGCAAATTTCCTTTGTCTGGACAACTTGGAGATAGGAAAAAAGAAAGCTATTTAGGCCCCAGCTGTTGGTTCTGGGCTATTCAAGGTCCCCACCCACCCACCCCACCCCACTCCCCTGGCCTCTTGCCCAAACCCCATTGCATCACCCTAGCCTAGAGCCTCTGCCAGCCCTGGCCTCCCCCAGGTCCCCTCAAACTGCTTACCACAACCCTAATGGAGTAGAGGGAGGGAGGGGATAGGACCCTTCCCCATAGTAGGGTATCCAGTTATCTGGCTCTTAACCTTCCCCTTATCCCACCCCCTAGCCCCACCTAACTAAAGTGTCCTCTCCCTTTTAAAACACTTCTCTTAAACATCTGGATTTTCACACACTCCTGGTTCCCTGGGTATCTGTCTGGCTCCTGGCCTGATTCTACAGTCCCTGAAGCCCTCTTCTAAAACAGGACCCAGCTTTCTCATCCCTTTCCCCTCCCCTTCTGTTCATCTCTTCTCCCAAGAGAACCCAGGTGTCCAGCTTGCACTCCTCCCCTCTCATTTTCTCTTTACAATGCTCTCTTAGAGGAGGACTCTGACTATTCTATGTCCCCAAAGACATCCCTTCCACCACAGCTGGGCCTTCAAGCCCCTCCTGCCCACAGGGAACAAACATAGCCCCTACCTGGGGCCATCCCTGGAGACAGAGGGTCTCAGTGGTCTTGGTCTCCACGCGTCACCTCACACTGTAGACATTCAAACAGCAACAAAGGGCAGGGTGAGCCCAAGAAAGATTACAAGATAGAAAAGGGCAGAGCTTTAAAAAGGTGTGAATCCTGGCCTCACCACTTACTCATTTGTTTGTGATGTGGGATGAGTTACTTACACTCTTGGAGCCTGGTCTTTTCATGAAGTGTTCTGAGGATAAAATGAGACAATACATACAAAAGATACCTGGTCCATAGAGGCTGATCAATACATGGGAGGCATGGTTGGTATGGGGTTGCTCTTTTAGTTCCAGCTCTCTCCTCCCTGGACATCACCTAGTTCTTTGCTTAAGTTGTCCCCCATTTCTAACTTGCTTTTAGTATTTGCTTAGAGTAGTGATAGTAATACTAGTCCCTCACATTCCGTCACACTTTTGTATCGATTTTCCCATTGCATTGCTACAAGAATCCTTGTATTAGGTAGAGGAAGCATTATTGCCCCATTTTCTATAAATATATATGTAATAATATTATATATATACACATATAAACCAAAACTTCAGGAATCATAGAAGTTGGCTTAGGGACCATTCAAGGGCAAGCCATCACTTTATGGGTAGAGGATCCAAGGCTTGTAGAGGGGAAATGACCTGGCCCAGGACATGAGCTCGAAAGGTGTACCAGCCTTAGCCCAGCTCCTTATTCCCTTCTGGGACTCTTCACAAGTGGAAGCAACTCTTCAGCCAGACAGGCCTATAGCCCTTAAGAATACACTGGGGGACCCAGAACTAGGTGTCCTCCTCTGACCTGGCCAGGGCTGGGACTGCTATAGGACCTGCAGGAGCTGGGCGGTTGTGCTATTGCTACTCTCCACCCCCAACCTTGCTAGGCCAACAGGTCAAACAGTAACCATGTATTGAACAGGAACTTGGTTAATCAGAAGCCTGGCTGGGGAGATAGTGGAAAGGAGGGGAGGGGATAAATTGTCAGCAGAGTAAACGAGAACACTGGCCTAGGATTTAGAACTACTGGCTTTTGTTGGGAAGGATTCTGAGGGACCTTGGGCATGTTTTCCCATCTGTAAAATGATGACATGGGATTAAGTCAACAGTTTTCTATTTAAGTTTTTTTCTTTATTTCCTTTATTTTTGTTTAAATTGGAATGATATATTACCAGGGCATTCTCTGTAAAACAGGGGAAAGAGGTTGCTCTGAAAGAAGATGGGGAGGAGTGTCAGGGCCAACCCGGCCTCCCTTCACTCCATGTGGCAGTCCCAAGGCATCTACAAGAAAGTCTTCAAGCCAGTGGATGCTCTCAATGGTGCTTTTCAGCTGTGCCAGCCTGCATGCCCAAGAACCAACTCTAGAGCTTTAGGGACCTGAGGCTTCAAAATAAACTATGGCAGTTATTTCTTCCCTTGGACTCTATTTTGGAAAATCTTACCTGCCAAAGTGCACTTAGTAAGGAATAATTAATTCCTTTTCCCATTTTTTATCAACTAGAAGTTAGAACAAGAAGAGATCTATAGCTGCCAATCAGAGCTATATGAGATGACCGGGTTCCCCACGTGAGCTGATATAATTCCAGCCAAAAGCAAATACACTTGAGGTTTTAATTAGCCCAGGCCATCTTATCAGGTGAATGCATGATTTCTGTCAGACTTCTGAAATGCTGAAAACCACCCAAGAACCCTCTGTTGTTACCTTCTTGTAACCCTAAGGAGGCCCAACTCATGCAGGAGCAGGAACCAAGAGTGGAAGAGTAAGGATAAGCTATGTGAAGTCTCACCCCTGACACCAAGCACATCTCTTGGCACGTGGAGAAGGGTACTATTTATTGGCCTAACTATGGGGAGCTGGCCACTGAACCACCAGGGATAAGCCATGATGATGGAAGCAGGGCTGGGGCTGTGTCCCTTGCCTTCATGCCAGGTCCCCTGAGCCTTCACACCGCCACAATGCTCATGCCCCTGGCCCCTGAGTTTAAGGGCTTTACAAGCTTTGCAAGGCCTCTCTCTTACCTTGCAATCCTGCCAGACTCCAAGCTTCTTTCTCAGGCCATCCCAAGAGCACTCAGTCTCGGCCCTCCCCAATCATAGAGGGTGTTGGAAAAACTGGGAGCAGGGATCCCTTGGCTGCAGCCTTATGCTCTCCTAGAAACAGAATATCAGAGCTCCAGGAGACTTATTCAAAGGCTTCATCTCACCACCCAGGGTACTGCCTAAGCCCGCACTGAGCTCGTGCTGACCCAGAAACTCCTAACTCCTGGCCCAGTGTTCTTCACACTGCCTCCTGTCCCACAGCTATTCTCTGGGGCTGCCCCTACGAAGGGATGGTTGCACCCCTCTCCCCTCACCCAGCCCTGGGGCAATGAAAACTAACCACTACCAACCTCACCTACTGGGCCTGGCAGTTGACCAGGTCACTGTGCCTTCAGAGTAGCCAGCCTCCACCCCCCAACTGGATATAATGCCTGAGTGAGAGGGGTGGGGCCCGGCGGTGGGAGACAAACGGAGAAGTGAGAGGTTGGAAACAGACAGGAAGCCACAGGCAGTAAACATTTCCTGTCCCCAGGGTAACGGTGCTGGCACCCCACCCCCCATCACTCCAGGAACTCTCACCCTGGGGGTGGGGCCCTCCTATTCCTATGAATCCTGCCTTTTCCCTCCTCCATTCTCATCTTCTGGCCCTCCTAGACCACTCCTTACTCCCCACTCGGTCCCCTGGCCCTGCTCCCAGGGGTACCCACACCTATTCCTCTTGGACCCCATCCCTCTCACCCCTCCCAACCTGGTCCTCTTGGAAGACACCTCAGGTTTTATGACCTCTACCATAATTCCCAGTGGGGTTCTTTCTTGGTAAGAACGGCTGAAGAAGGTATCCAGATACCAGGGAAGGGGTGGTATTGGGAATGGTGATAGCTGAGAGGGGGCAGAACAATAGAGAGAGAGGGGACCTAAAAAGAAAACAAAGAGAGCAAGTGGCCACAGGGACAGAGGGACAGCGGTTGCAAAGCAGTGACAGAGGCAGATGTGGGAGTAGAACAGGCCAAGGCTGGCAGGGGTGCTGACCCAGGGACCGGGGCTGGTTGCCCCTACTGCCAGATGCGGTCCTCATGGGAGACTGTGGAGGAGAAAGCCAGCAGAGCTGCACAGACGCCTCAGAGGCAGACGGACCCAGGAATGGCAGAGACAGATTTCCTAAGACCTTCACTATGACCGCTCCGTTACATAGGACCCCCAGCAAAGGAAACCTTCTCGTCTTCAGCTCAGGGGGATCCAGGGCACTGTGTCCAGAACTAAGCCCCGGCAGAGCAGGATCTGAACTCAGACTCCTAGGGATGGTGTGTGCGAAAGGGGCTCAGGGACTGAGACAGAGACCCAGCCAGGATGGGGAGGTCCACACTAGAGTCCAAGGTAAGGGCAGGCCCAGGCCCAGGGGAACAATCTGTTTTCACCATCCTCCAGCCTCTCTCCCCATTTCTCCTGCCTGATTTCCAAGACTCACATTTTCCTCCTACACGCCCCAGGCAGCCTGAAGCCTGGGTCTTGGTCCAGGGAAGGGCTCTAGCTTGGGACAGAAGGGTGCAGGCTGGTTAGAAGGACCATAGGGCTTCAGGGCCTGCGCATCCTATTGTGGCAGGCCCACCGGAGAGATGGAGAGGCTGGGGCCCAGGCCCTCTAGCCCTTGGCCCCGTCCCAGACCGACTCTGGCTCCTTCTCTCTGGGATAGGTAGAGGAGAGTGCAGGAGTGGGGGAGGGGCCGCATTAGTGACAGCGGCACATGGGGACCACCTGACTCCAGCCTGTGCCTCTGGCATCTGTGGCATCTTCTGAGATATAAATACAACCTAGGGGGCATCTACCCAGCCCCCAGCCAGCCCCCAGCCCAGGGACCTGGGTCCTTCCTGCTTCCGGAGACTGGTAAAGAGCTTGGAGCTACCCTAAACTGCCTCTCTTTTCCCCTCCACAGGGTCAGCGTGCTGGTGGGAGCGCCCAAGGCTAACACCAGCCAGCCGGGCGTGCTGCAGGGTGGTGCTGTCTACCTCTGTCTCTGGGGCACCAGCCCGGTACAATGTACCCCCATTGAATTTGACAGCAAAGGTAACCCCGATGTAGGCCGGCAAGTTCAGGGAGGGACTCCGGGGGTGGGACTTTGGCTGGGCTGGGGCAGACTGGGTGGTGCCCGGAGCGAGGGGTGGAGCTTGCCCTGAGCCCTGGCCAAGTGCCCTCCCGGCTTCGTGCAGCGGTGCAGCAGCTCCCCGTGGCACTCACACCACGTTCCCAGTCCAGCCCAGCCCTGAATCAGGAGGGCGGGCATGATTCAGAAACATGTGGCTCTCATTTCCCCTGAATCACCCACAACTCAAGGAGGCCAGGGCAGTAACACACACAAAGTCAGGGAGAGTCGCACAGACTATGGATTGTTTCATTTAACTAAGAACTGACTAAGTGGCAGTGCACGGCAGGCACTGGGCTGGGGCTGCAGGGCACTGAAACACAAGCCTCGGCCCTCAAGGAGCTCCATTCTGGAGGAGATGCAGAGGCGCCGATGGGAAAGAGACAGATGCAGGTAAGAGACAAGCAATAGTAACAGCTAACACTTCAAAAGCACTTGCTCTATGCCAGGCACTGTTGTAAGCACTTTATGTATTTAACTCACTTAATCCTTTCAACAGCAGTTTGAGGTTTAAGCCCATTTTGTAGGAGAGAAAACAGAGGTTAAGCAACTTGTCCAAGGTTATACAGCTAGTAAACGGTGAAGCAAGGACATGAACTTGAGCAATCTGGCTCCAGAAATCAAGACTGCGATGAGGTACAAAAAGAGGAGAGCATAAAAAGATGGAGACATCAGGGCAGAGGATAAGATCATGAAACAGAATGATGATTTTAAAAGCCTCAAAACCACACTTACTGTAGTGTGCATTTCAGCATGTATATAAATGTTGAATATATAAATATAAATGTGATATGCCTGAAACTAATATAATATGTCCTCTGTACTTCAACTAAAAAAAAAACCCTGAAAGACAGAATCAGAGGAATAAAAAAGGCTGCCCTACAGAGGGTAGAGATAGGGCTTGGAAAGAGATACACAGACAGAGGCACCAAGAGAGAGACATAAAGGGACAGAGATCCAGAGATGGGAGACAGTCAGGAAAGAGGATAGAACAGGTGCTATTAGAGACACAGGCCCAGGTAGAGAGAGCCAGACGGTTACCCTCTCATGAAATCCTTGCCATCCTTTTCTACCACCCTCTGGCTCCACCTCACCTCAAGCATCCTTGTCCCAGCTGGATGAGGAGGTAAGGGGACCTGGAGAAGTCAAATCTAGAAACCCAGGTTCCATGAGCATGCATATGTGTGTGTGTGAATGTGCATGTGTACGCATATGCACACGTGTGTAGAGAAGGGCTGAGTCAGGCCACACAAAGCAGACCCTAAAGAAAACACCCTCCCCTTCCCAGTGAGTCAGGGGGCTCAGGGTTGGCAAGTGCTTAGGCACCCCCACACTGGAGGGGCAGGCCACTCAAGGGCTCAGCTGCCCATAACCTGGAGTGACTCCCCTTTTTCACTTCCCCAAGGCTCTCGGATGCTGGAGTCCTCACTGTCCAGCCTAGAGGGAGAGGAGCCTGTGGAGTTCAAGTCCTTACAGTGGTTCGGAGCAACGGTTCGTGCCCACGGCTCCTCCATCTTGGTGAGAGTCCAGCAGTTCCATGGTGTGGAGGCCAGGGAATAAGCAGTGGCTGTGTATAGTGGAGCACAGGCCTCGGGGGAGGGAGGAGAGACTCCGTTGGACCAAACCTGAAGCCCCCGCCTCCTGTGCCCTCCCAGGCCTGTGCTCCACTATACAGCTGGCGCACAGAGAAGGAGCCCCTGAGTGATCCCGTTGGCACCTGCTACCTCTCCACGGACAACTTCACCCGAGTTCTGGAGTATGCCCCTTGCCGCTCAGGTAGGGCAACAGGGGGCACATGCCCTGTGTCTGCCTTCTCTTTGTGACTTCCCACAGCCCCCTACACCATTAGCCTTTATGCTCACTGTCTGGACCAAGAAGATCTTTTCTGTGGCTTCCTCTCCCACCTCCTCCCCCAAGTTCTCTCACCTCCTGCATGACCCATCTCTGCGGGCTCCTTCTCACCACCTTCTCCCATCATAGATTTCAGCTGGGCAGCTGGACAGGGTTACTGCCAAGGGGGCTTCAGTGCTGAGTTCACCAAGGTGAGAGAGTGGCTGGGAGAGGAGTAGCTGTGGGTGGTGAGCATAGGGGGATCAGGACCATGTGTGGACTCATTCTTTCCTCCCACAGACTGGGCGTGTGGTCCTAGGTGGTCCAGGGAGCTATTTCTGGCAAGGTAAGTCCCTCCTCTGCTGTCCCTTAGTGCCCTGGCACATGGCCTCTCGTCCCTGCTCCCAGCCTGACATCACCATCCTTCCCTCCTCTGTCCCCTCCCAATTCTCCTCTCCTTTTCTTGAGACTAACATGTCCTCTTCCACCTCCCTCCACAAGTTTTACTTCCTTGAACGAGACTTCTGAAATCCTGCCCAGCAGCCCCCAGCGTCCCGTCCATTCCCCTTCCCCTGCATCCATCTCCTCATACCCTTCCCCAGGCCAGATCCTGTCCGCCACCCAGAAGCAGATTGCTGAATCCTATTACCCTGAGTACCTCATCAACCTGGTTCAGGGGCAGCTGCAGACCCGCCAGGCCAGTTCCATCTATGATGACAGCTACCTGGGTGAGTGAGAAGTGGGGAGGGAAGCGCAAGGGGAGAAGCAGCTCAGGTACCCCTGTCCTCATTCACCCCTTTGCCTCCCTTCTCCTACTCAGGCATCCCCAGCCCCTCTGCCATACTGTCATGTGCAGGCTGCCTATGAAGGCGCAGTAAGGGCAGGGAAGGGCTTGCAGGATAGGCCAGAGCAGAGCGGTCCCCAAAGCAGTATTACTAATATCCACCCACCCTGTCCCCCAGGATACTCAGTTGCTGTGGGTGAATTCAGTGGTGATGACACGGAAGGTGAGTGTGTCCCGAGGCTGGGGCCAAGGGCGGGGGCAGATGGAGACCAGGACCTGGGACCACAGGAACTGAAACACCACTCTTTTTTTTTTTTAATTTTTTATTAAGGTATTATTGATATATACTCTTATGAAGGTTTCACATGAAAAAGCAATGTGGTTACTACATTTACCCATTTATCAAGTCCACCCATACCCCAGTGCAGTCACTGTCCATCAGTGTAGTAAGATGCCACAGATTCACTGTTTGCCTCCTTTGTGCTACACTGTTTTCCCTGTGACCCCCCCACACCATGTGAAACACCACTCTTGTCTGACTCTCCTTTCCCTGTCCTTAGCCCACAACTTTCTCTCTCTTTGCAGACTTTGTTGCTGGTGTACCCAAAGGGAACCTCACCTATGGTTATGTAAGACCCAGCCTGATCCTCCCTCCCTCCCTCCCCTTCCCTCCCCTCCCTCTCTTCCCCTGGATAGTCA